GGGGGGGGGGGGGGGTCCCAACTATCACATAACCTCTTGGCGATACAACAAAGTTTCCCACAATCCCTCCCTTGGGTTTGTTGAATTTGCTAACTGACCTGAGCCCTCTGTCCTTCAAGAGAATGGGGGCAGGTGTGAGGCTTTCAAGCTTCTAATCCTCCCAGGCCTCTCCAGTGGCCCATCCTCACCCAGGAGCCCACCCAGTGTCCCCTCATCAGCAAAGGCCCGTCCGTCCCCCAGGGAGTGACAAGGGCATCAGGAGCCTGTGCCGGGGCCCGGGGCCGAGACCAGCATATGTTTCCTATCAGCTCACATCCTGTGTCTGCAACTGCACATGGTCACCCAGACAGTCATGCTCCCCAACACATTAATTACATGTGTGTGAACCTTGTGTTACTAATGATTCGTCATATATGATTTGTTAGTGTTCACCCTGGTCATGGACACAATCTTCTCCTTCTCTGAACAAACCCACAGAAGGTTGGTCACAACCAGCACAGACTCTCAGTGACAACACCCTCCTTCCCTTCTTCCCCCCTCTGCTGCTGCCTCCCTCACCTCCTCATCTCTCCCTTGGGCTCTTCTGGTCTTAACTCCATGTTCACCTTACGCGGTTTCATGGCAAAGAGACAAGTTCCTGCTCTGGTTTCTATTCACTGAGGATGTGAGGGTTTCTGGGTTCAACTGCCCAGACGTCCACCACATTTGCACACACAGCACAATCTCACATTTGTCAGTAAAACAGGACAATGAGTCAGAAAGTACAGTAGGTAAAGTTTTATTTAAAATTAGAGGCCCGGTGCACGAAATTTGTGCACTGGAGGGGTGTCCCTCATCCCAGCTTGTCCCCTCTCACAGTCCAGGAGCACTCAGGGAATGTCCTACTGACAGCCACAGTCTGGCCTCCCTCTGTGGGAGGTGACTGGCTGATCAGGGGAAGGTGCCACCCGCATCACCCCGCTGCCGCTGCTACTTCCGGCTGCCACAGCCGCTGAGGTGCTTTCATCAACACAGACTCCAGTCCCTTCACCATGAAAAAATGACAACTTTCTTTAGACATTGTCAAGATTTCTCTTTCATAGAATATGACATTTCTTTCCTCCTTTATTTTTTTAATCCTCATCTGAGGATATTTTCTCATTGATTTTTAGAGAGTATATAAGAGAGAGGGAAAGACAAAAAACATCAATGTGAGAGGGACACTTCGATTGGTTGCCTCCTGCATGAGCCCTGACCTGGGCCCCGGCCAGGGAGGAGCCTGCAACCTAGGCACATGCCCTTTGTCAGAATCGAATCTGGACCCTGCGGTCCGCGGGCCGAGGCTCTATTCACTGAGCCAAACTGGCTATGAAAATATCAGGATATGACATTTCTTAGCCCCTCCAGCAGCGGACCTTCGTTTTTTCCTCCAGGAGTGGGGTGGAAAAACCCTAGATCACCTTCTTGGATTGTAACGGGAAAGCCACAGGCCAGAGGATGAAGCCAGATTACCGCTGTCCTCATGTTCAAAGATTACCTCACACAGACCTAAAATAAAGCATGAAACAATAAATTACATAGAACAAAACATAGATGCTAAGCTAATTGATCTCAGAGAAGATTTTATTAATTCAACCCATAGGCAGGAGAAGGAAAGGCAAAAATATTAGACTGGGCTACATCAAACTAAAAAGCTTCCGCACAGGAAGAGACACCCCCAAAAGAGCTGACTGCAGCTTTAAAAAACAAAACCACACCATTCATAGTTATATAACTGAGAAATGCTATAGGGTGCGTCTGAGAAAAATGAAGTGTTAAACATGGGAAGCTATAAAACATTGCAAGAGAAAGTAAAGAAAACTCGAATAAATAAACAGGTATTCCTAATTTGTGGATAGAAACACTGAATTTCGTTACAATATTGATTCTTCTTAAATGTATTGATCAAGAGCTGGTGCCCACCACTTCCTGATACAAAAACATGAAAATAACAAGATATTATTCACAAATAAAGACATAAAATCTCTGAAGATACTATTAGAAAATAGAGTTCAGTAATACATAAGAAGAAGTATACACCGACAATGTATTAAAATCAAAGTACCTGGAAATCAAACCATGGCTGTGTGAATAGAGACAATGACCTGGTGAGTTGAACTCACCCGCTGGGCTCTCTGGGTTTTGGTCCATGAGGAGCTGTGCGTCCTGTGACCAGCAGGAGGCGCTGTGGGCCTTCCACCAGCTGCTCAATGAGGACCATTCACTAGCCTGGGCCTGGCAGTTGGGCCCTGAGCTCACTGATGGGGAATCAGCAGCTGTGTCTTCTGTGGCTTGAAAAAGTCAGCTGAGTGGGGACCTGTGTGTGGTCTCAGCAGGTGCTTCCTCCCTGGGCCCCCCAAGGGGTGACCCCACCTCCATGCCCCTCAGTCTGGGTGTGAGCTGAGTTCCAGCCCCAGGGCCCAGGGAGGGGCTGGGCAGTCCTTGGAGGGACCCATTTGCACATGGCAGCCCCTCCTCTGGCAGAGGGTGGGGGAGAAAAGGAGGCCTGGGCAGCCCAGCCCCACTGTGGGCTCAGGGCTGTGAGCACCATGGCCTGGACTCCTCTGCTCCTCGCGCTCCTCTCTCACTGCACAGGTAGGGACAGGCCTGAGACCAGGCTTCTTCCCTTCCTTCTCAGTCTCCTGGGAAACGTCCCCTGGTCCCTGCCCATCACTGACAAGTGTCTGTGTCTGCAGGGTCGCTCTCCCAGCCTGTGCTGACTCAGCCGCCCTCCCTCTCTGCATCTCCGGGAGCCACAGCAACACTCACCTGCACCCTGAGCAGTGGCTTCAGTGTTGGCGATTACTGGATCGCCTGGTTCCAGCAGAAGCCTGGGAGCCATCCCCGGTTTCTCCTGACTTTCAATTCAGACTTAGAAAAGGAGCATCGCTCAGGGCTTCCCAGTCGCTTCTCTGGATCCAAAAACGCCTCGGCCAATGCGGGGCTCCTGACCATCTCGGGGCTGCAGCCCGAGGACGAGGCTGACTATTACTGCGCTACAAATGAGGGCGGTTGGAGCAGCTACCGTGCCGCACAGTGTCTCAGATGACGAGGAAGTGAGACAAAAACCTGGGCCCTGAGGTGCTGGCTCTGAGCCTCCCTTCAGCGAGGAGCGTCCGTGGGGGCCTCTGTC